AAAGTGGCAGGAGATATGGGAAGAATCCTTGCCTCAGGACTTCAAGATAAATGTTCCAATTAGGAAATCACCCCAAAGTGTTCTGGAAAGTGAATACGTCTGGAGAGTGAACAGGAAGTAAACACCAAAGGGCGTGAGGAAGGCACTAGATATAGAGAAGTTAGTGGTTATAGATTAAAGAAAGCAAAGTTCCCCCAAATAACTGACGTGATTTCTCTTATTTCCACTTGTAATGAGCTAAGTCTAATAATGACTATATTTTATGACATTTCCTATAATATAGCTTGAGTGTAATACTACTACTAATAGCTAGTAGTTACTGAGTGCTTTCTACGTGTCTGGTAATGCTATTTGGCATACATTATCAGATTTTATTTCTTTATCAATCCTATAAGGTTATGTATCATTATTATTTCCATTTTAATAGAGAAAGCCAAGATTTGGAGAAATTAAGAAGCTTGCCAACAGATAATAAAGAGACTGAGCTTTTAAAACTACACTGTACAAAAACAAAAAGGATAGCTCTGGGGAATGTCATCCTTTCCATGCTAAGCTCTCAAATGCCAATCTGAACAAATCACCAACTTGTTTAAAAGAAATTGCTTAAATAATTCTCATAAGGAAACAAAATGAATATGGCATACCACTTCCTGCACCACCTGGGTAAAACATGCAAGTTGAACAGCCATAGGAATGCAAATATTATTTTTTAAACTTTGTAAAATTGTAGAATATAATAGATACAGACAACTGCAAAGAGAATGATGTAGATGAATAAATTACTACAATGAATTATTGTAAGGCAAACACTCTTGTCACACTATCCAGATGAAGAAATAGAAACTGGGTTCCCACCCAAAACCCTCCCTTTGCCCCATCCCATCAAGACTTCTCTCTTCCCCCAAGGAACCCCTAAGATCTTGGGGCAAATTATTTAACACAAGTTTCCTCACATGAACAGTGAGGATAATATGTACCTTACGAGGTTGTTGGGGGGCTCCAATGAGATAATGGCTATATAGTGTCACACAGTAAACGCATAACAAATGTTAGTCTTTTCGCTTGGCCTCTTCCCTGCCAAGTTGTATCAATTTTCCTTTAACTATGTTGACTTTAAAAATTCAAGTCATTGAAAATCAAAAGTTCAAATAAAGGAGATAAAAAAATTTTGAATTTTCATTTCACCCTGTGCAGGATAAACCTTTTTGACAATGTCCTTGTGAATTTAGATATTTAGCAATAGGCATAAAGTTAAAGAGCCAGTGATAAAACCCCTCCTTCACAATATTTCCCACATTCATCCTTTCCTGTCTATTCCCTCTACAATCTTGCTGGTTTGGCACTTACTTATTCAACCAGAAAGCAAGAGGGAACCTGGAGATCTTCCATTCCAACCCTAATTTAACCGCTAAGAGAACTGAAGCCCAGAGTGACCTGCCTGAGCACACTCAGCTAGTTAGAGACAATAGCCTCTGACACTGGCTGCAAATTAAGTGCCTACAAGGGCCAGTAGGTAAAAGAGATGAGAGCAAAGAGAGGGGCTTACATGGGGAGCGCAGTTGTTCTAAGATGTGAACTCCAGCTCACACTTACATATGTGAAAGAGGGCCAAGTGTGGATAGAACTTCTAATATTTAAAAAGATCTTGGAAACCTGAAACTCTATACATAATCTACTCATTTTTAAATGTTGGCAATGTAGTAAACATTTTTAAATCTCTCTGCAGGTCAAACATGACACATCTATGGGCTAGATTTAGTCCATAGCTAGCCAGTTTGAGGCCTCTGTTTCCTACTAACCCTAATTTAAATTTCTTTTATTTAATTTGCTTTGATTCTTGCACTCCCTGCTGGAAAAACCTTCAATGGCTCCCCACTGTCTACAAGATAAAGCGCAAACCTCTTAACCAGTCCTTCAAGGCAATCTGTGACTATATCTAAGACTCCAAGCTATATTCCCACCTTAACAATCAGTCTATCTTCCACTGCAACCAGATGGCCACTGACTTCTACTCTAGGTACAAAAGGGCACCTGCTCAGCCCACGTGGGATGCTCCTTGGTCCCAAGACTTTTCCCCTTCTTGGAATGCCCTCCACTATGCACTCCCATCAGCAAAACTCTGTCCATCTTTAAGCATTCAGCTCAAATACCATGTCTCCACAAAACATCCCTGATGGCCCCTGCTAAAAGCCACCTTGCTCTGAATTTCCATAGGCCTTCATATAACTCACATGACACTTACCACAGACTGCCTTGTTTTGTAGTTACTGGCATAGCTCATATCCCCAAGCACCTAATAACATTCCTGGAAGGAAGGGTTTGGTCTGAAAACTATGTTGAACATCCCCACAGTGCTTTGTACAGAGCAGGGAGCTCAATAACCATCTCGGAAACATTATCCTTTTATACTGAAAACTTGTGGATCAAAGAAAATACCTTTACAGAACTCTATTTCATCTATACTTTTATGGGCATATTCCTGACTGATGCAAAAGGGGCACAGGGTTCACTTTCCTGGCTGCCCAAAACATTTTCCCCACTGAACTACTACTTTCTACTCACTTTGAGATTTCCTCCTGCAGAAGCACTCACATCTTTGCCTTAGACAACATTGATTCTAAGAAGTCACTGTTAAATATCCATCTATTACATGAAAGTATTTCAGGGGAGTTGGTCTTTTTCTATGAATAAGGTTAATTTATCAGATCTGATGGCTATCACTTGGAAAGACACAGAGAACTGAGCTATCAGTGAAAAGACACTGTCCAAATATTTCAGTCATGATAAAACTGATTAAACCCTGGCTATCCAGCAACCAAGGCTAATTTTGAGTGTGGGAGTCCTAAACTTATATCTCACACTTTGTTTTTCTGGAGCCACTCCCATTTTCAGCCATCTATATTCCGTTAGTGTCAAAAAACAAAAGAAAAATTAGCTTCCATTTTATTTTTATAGGCCTGGCCAGCACTAGAGGCACTCAATAAAATGTATGCTGAATGAATTAAGAAAATCAATTTCTACTTTTGCTTAAAAACAAATGCAGTTACTGAAAGGATAAAAATACCAGTCTTATAAGATGGCCTAAATTTGCACAATAACGGGAAAAGATACAGTCTTACCTTAAACTAGCCATAGTTTAGATGTCAGCTGAGTAATTCCCATTAGCATATTCTGGATACGCCCTTTCTAACCTGTTCAAATATATACTGTCAAAGACAAGTTAAGCCTTGCAAACAAAGTTAAGGCCTCACATTTATGTCATGTGATAATCTGTGTTTGGTGTCAGAGAGCCAAGACAATCTTGAATTCCAGGAAATGTTAAAGAAACCTAATGACTATAGAGGTTTCCATTATGAAAACCCAATGTTTTCTTCTGTTTTGGAGGATGCCACGGTAGGTCACATCTACTAACCCTCTAATTTCTTTATCAAAGCTTAAACTCTAATTTCTTTATCAAACTCATTCTTTTTTTTTTTTTTTTTTGAGGAAGATTAGCCCTGAGCTAACTGCCGCCAAGCCTCCTCTTTTTGCCAAGGAAGGATGGCCCTGAGCTAACATCCGTGCCCATCTTCCTCTGCTTTATATGTGGGATGCCTACCACTGCATGGCTTGCCAAGTGGCGCCATGTCCGCACCTGGGATCCTAACCGGGGAACCCTGGGCCACCCAAGGGGAACATGCGAACTTCACCAATGCGCCCAACGGGCCAGCCCCTATGAAACTCATTCTTAAACTTTTATTGGGAGTGCTTCTAGCATAAGCCTATTATAATAGGCTTATATTATAATTATAATAGGCTTATACCATATACCAGCATAAACATGGTGTAACAGATGTACTCAAAGAACTCCCCATAAAAAGTAATTCTTTTCTTTGTAACTCCTCTGGGTGGAAGGAAGGAGAAATGGAATAGGTTACAAAAAGTGATCTAGAGGCTCATTTTTCCTGTTTAGTACGTTTTGTGGTAAAACAGTCTTAAAGCAATACTCTCCCTTCTGTTGAAAATTACTAAAGTGAATATGCTTCTTTTGTCTTTACATAAAAAATTATCTTCTGTGTTAAATTTTTGAAAACAAAATTTTAACATTTCAGAAGCTAACATTTAAAACACTTTTCAAGCATAAAAGGATTTTAGAACTTTGATTATTGGTTAAAACCCCCAATTATGAGACCAACAATAATAAATATTTTAATTGTATTGTTGCAAACCACAAAGACCCATGGATTTGTTAAAGAACAAGAACAAAGTGACACACTTAGGAAACCAGGAGGAAGCCTGGAATCTACCATATCGAGATCATTTGCCCCTACTTGAAAGAACGTAAATGCGTCTGGAGGAAGGGCTCGCCAGAGCTCTTTTTTTCTGATCTTAAACAAAGCCAAAAATAAATGGGCAGCTCCAATCCCCTTTGATCTCATTAAACGTGTATTTCCAGCGTAAACTGGCCTTGTTTAGGCTGACGATGTTTTCCCTAAGGGCCAGTGAGAAAGGAGTCATTCAACTGCAACCTGAGAAAGTCAGGGCTCCTCTCACGGAAATGGAGCGCTGTGCTAAGGCATCGGACACACACACCCGCGCACAGCATTCGTGCCGAGGTGACATTTGGTTGCCTGCTTCTGAGAACGGGGTGTCACCTAATTTTTTTTTAACTGTAAAATGATCCTGGGGAGAATACGGGTGGAGGAGATTCACCGCACACTCCTAGAATCTTTACAAGAGAACAAGGCGGATTCAAGCTGGAGAGGGGGGATTGTTCGGGACCAAGAGGCTCAGGAATGACCCCGCAGAGGTCAGAACCGCAGACCTGTGCGCCCCACTCCCAGTGACTGATGCCCAGGAGAGGAAGGCCGGGGTAGCCCCGCTCTTCCAAATGAGGGCTGGTCAACGTGTGGAAACATCACGTCAGCTCTTCCCACTTGGACAGCCGGTGTCTCTGAGAGTTGGCAGGAGGGCGGCCCCGCCCTTGCCCCCACCGGGCGGCGGGGGCGGCCGGCCCTTACCTGGTTCCTGCGGTACCACGCGCCCGACAGGGAGCCGTTCCCGGAGCCCAGCGCCCCGTACGTGAAGTTCCGGGACAGCTCGTCCAGGGCGGCCGAGGCGGCGTCCCCGGGTGCCCCGGGCGCCAGCGCCGCCATTAAGTCTCGCTCGCCGCGCTCGCGCTCCGGCTCCGGCCGCCTCCCGGCCCGGCCGCACCGCGAGGCGCCGCGGAGGAGGCGCGCCCTGCGGAGGCGGCGCCCGGGCCGTGCCGCAGCACTTCCTGCTGGTGCCTGGGCGCGCCGAGGCCACCGGCTCCCCCTCCGCGCGGCGGCAGGTGCAGCGCCCGCCCGCCCGCCGGGCGCGGGCTCCCTCCTCCCGCGCCGGGTGCCGGCGAGGAGCCCGCGGTCTGAGGCCTCCCAGGGCGGCCTGGCTTTCTCCGCATCCTCCGGGCCGCCGGGCCCTCGTGCGCCGCGTCCTCACGGGCCACACTGTCCCGGGCAAATCACCGCGCCAGGCCGCGGCATGTGTCCGCTCCTGTCAGGACAAAAGTGACATCATCTCCAAATGCCCTTCCAGCCCCAGCGGGGGCTTAGTCAATATTTGTTAAAGTGAATGGGAGAGAAAGGAGACGGTGTCTAACCCAAAGCAACTACCTTTGCCCCGTCTGTACCTGGCAATCCCAGCTCTCTATCACATATGCAGTATTTCTCACTTGTATTTTTAAAATCGTTTGCGTATGGAAAAGTCACGAGTTCCTGAAAATATTGTAAGCAACACGAGCATAAAGGTTGGATCGATTAAATCTCAGTACCAACACTTGATAGACCCTTAGTAAATATTCCTGGAATGAAAGAAGGAATCCCAGTGATAGCCGGAGGACCCCAACGTGTGTTTGGATGGGGTTTCCTTCAAACGGAACTAGAAGGAATTGCTGAAAAGTTGCCAGCTACTGGATATAAGAATTTAGGATGGGAGATAATTGTTGTTAAATGGTCCTTATGAACTCTAACTGGGTGTTCTGGTTTTACCTGTATTCAAATTCTACAGTGTTACTACAAATGGTCTGTGAGGTGTCTCTCACCTTGAGAATTCTATGATTCTGTGTTGTTGCCTGAAGCACTGGAGCTTGCAATTCTTTTTTTACACAATGCTGAGATTCTTCTTACATAATGTGTTTTGACTGCCAGACTTCATGAAAGAGAGACCTTCAAGAAAAGAGAATTGCTGCTTAGCGAGGAACAGGGAAAAACTTTCCAGTGTTTCTTAGGGGAAATGTGCAAATGAGAGAAGAAAGTGAAAAAAAAAAATCATTTCAGGTAGAGGAAAAACAAGACACTCCGTCATCTCACAAGTTGTATAGTTTCTTGCTTGACAACCCAAATTATTCAATGAACATTTAATATGGCAGCTCACTATTTCCAATTTTAAGAGGCTCATTTATTTCAAATAAATATCTGAAAAGGAAAAGTGTCTTTTTAAAATATTTTCTATCACAGCACATTATTCTTTGTTGATGACTTTGTTAATGCTTCTTCCAGTTGAGATGCTTTAGGATACAAGTATTAGAATATCCAAATAAAAGTGGCTTAAACAATGTGTCTGTTATCTCCAGAGGGAATGTGGCTCTATGTAGTTCTATGATGCCATCACTTCCAACTTTCTGCTCTGCCATCCCTGGGGTATTGACCTTGTCCCTTTTCATGGTGGTGGCTCCAGGTGTTACATGCAAACATGACCACATTTAGCAAGGAAGTGGGACATTTCTTCTTATGTATCTTATCCTCCCAGCAGCCTTCCCTCTCAGTTCCCATTAGCCAAGACTGGGTCACATACCCATGTTCTACCTGCAAAGGAGCCTGGGAAAGTGATTCTTGTGCATTTCCAGCCTTCAGAGTGGGAGGTGAGATCTGCTGGCAAGGAAGAACCAGGACGGGGTGGGAGGGCACAACCAGCAGAGCCTGGCACAACCATTCTTTAGTATATTCTCTCAGCAAGATTGTAACTAGTCATACAGTCTCTAACAAGCAAAATAATAAACGGATCATGTTACTTTCCTGTTTAAAATGCTTCCAAACCTCCCCATTGACACAATAAAGTTCACATTTTTTAAGACTGGCAGATAAGACCCTTTATCAATCTGGCCCCCACACTCTGCTACACTCAACTCATTTCCATTCTACTTTTTAACTTAAAAATCATTTTCAGTTTCTTTGCATTTGTTTAAAAACTTCTAATTTTGGAGGAAGATGGCCCTTGGTGCAGAATGGATATAATGTGTGATCTGTGATGTGCTGTTCTCCAGGTCCCAAGATGCTGCTGCAGCTTCTGTGGCTGTTCTAGCGTGGCGCGTGGTTGAAACAAAGAATTCATGACCAGCGTTCCTTCCCACACAGTTCAAAAGGAGGAGGTAGGAATGCTGTGTGAGCTATTTTGGTCCCAGCAGTGTAGGTGGAACTGGAGGCCTTTCAGGGCTTTGTGATGGCCTCTGCCTTTTGTGCTGTGTCTTCAGGGGTATCCTGTTCTCCTTATAGGATGCCAGAAGCCTTTGATCAACCTCCCATCCTCAGTGATGAAATGGTGGAGATCCATCTTCCTCAGTTAATTCAAAGAATTCTATTCTGGTTCCACATCACTTGAAGCTGAACTTCATTGTGAACTTAGAGAGCAGGGTTGCGTTTTGCCCACCTTGCCTGGGATCACTCTCTTGCAGCATCCACAAAATAGTTTTTTTTTTTTTAATTTATCGTTAGCATGAACAGTCAACACTAGTTTCACTAATGATGAGTATCTAAAAGCCTAAGGTAATTATTAGGGTAAGGATTAATTCAGGTATCTCAAATCATATACAAAAGCCAACTTCGGATTCGGTGCTTTAAGGAGAAAGGTAAACTTTAAATCTTTCAGAAAAACATGAGACGATCTCTACAACAGGCCGTTTGAACAGTCATTAGAGTACAGATGCTAAAGGCAGAGTATCTGGGTTCAAATCCTGACCCCACTACTTATTTGCTGCTTATTCTTGGTGAAGAATAAATGAAAATCAGTAGGATATATTGGAGTATATGAGGAAGCTGTTTGGTTTAAAACTAATTCAGCATGACCTTGTTTTTCCAGAAGGCATCATGTGGCCTGTCAAGGATGCATTGTACATCTGCTTTAAACATTTACGATGTTCCAAAGCCGAGAATGATGTCCATAAAGATAGAGATGTTGCCTCCCCCATATCAGCATTTCTTTATAAATAAGCATTTCTTCCCAAAAACTAAGGATTAATTATTGACCTACTGAGCTCATCTCGTGACCACTGACCTGCTGTGCTAGCAAAGCATCTTGTGGCCGTAGTAAAAGGAATATTCCTGTCATATTTGATGTATGTTCCTTTTTCCAAGATGGTCTATAACCACTCTGTACACCCTGCTCCTTCTGCTCCTTATCAGCTGCAAGGCTTTGGGACAAATTCTCTGAGATTCAGTTTCCGAATTCATATGTGAGAATAATAATATTTATCTCAAAGACTGTTATAAACATTCAGTGATAGGTAATGTGAGTGAAAAACACCTTATAATTCAGTTCAATTCACCAAACTCTTACTTTGTGCCAGCAGTCAAAGACACAAGGATGAATCAAGCGTGGGCTCTGTGCCTTGGAACTTACAATGAGGTGAGCGGACAGGCAGGTGAACAGGTGGACTCAGTTAGCTTCAGCATGAGAATTGGGAGAGAACAAAGAAGATGCACTTAGCTCAGCTTGGGAAGGCAGGTGCAGCCTGAGAAGACTACCTGATGACTGTTTTTAATCCTGAAGGATGAGTTAGCCAAATGAAGAAGGGAGGCAGGGGGTGAACAGGGCTGGAATAGCATAATCAAAGGCCAGGGGCAAGATACAGAATAGTTTGTATGTTTCCACATTAGTCTTGGGTGAGTTGAGATATACCCTAAAATATGGATAGAAGGACCAGCAGGGCCAGGAAATTTAGGGTTTTGTGTGTTGGGTTATCAAGATTGGACTTGACTCTTAACGGGAGCCATTGAGTAACTTTGGATAAGAGAGCAGTAGGACAAGATTGGTGCTGTAAAAGATCCCCTGCTGGGAGGGCAGGGATGGTTTAAGTGGAGAAACACCGGAGTTAGACAAGTTAAGAAAGTGCAATGGCCCAAGTGAGGGTATATGAGAAAGGCTGGAGAGAAGGAGAGAAATTTAAGAAATGTTTAGAAGTAAAACTGGCACAACCTATTGAAGGGGCAGGGGAGGATGGAGAAGGAAGGGTCTGAGATGTGTTTTAGCTTGGGCTACTGGGTGCAAAGTCTGCATCGTTACTGACGTGGGTAATCAGAAAGAAGAGTTGGTTTAGGGGGAAAGAGTGAGTTCAGTTTGGGTTGGAGACTCATTGAATTTGAGGAGATTATGGGGCATCCAAGCAGAAAAGGATGTGCAGAATTATCCTAAGATGCAGGGGTGAGGTTAGGACCAGGAAAATAGATTTGGAAGTCACTAGCAGGCAGGTGGATGAGACTAGCCGGGGAGAGTACATGGCCTCCATCTTTTGAAGTAGGGCTCAGAAAACTTTTTCTGTAAAGAGATAGATAGTAAGTATTTTAGGTTTTACGGACCATATGGTCTCTATCATAACTAGTCAACTCTGCTATTGTAGTGTAAAAGCAGGCGCGGACATTATGTAAATAAATGGGTGTGGTGTGTTCCAATAAAACTATTTATGGAAACAGGTGACTGGTCCCTGTTCTAGAGAGAGAAGATCTGATTGTGATACACAAGGCCAACCAGGACGACTTAAGAGGTAAGAGAATATATTTGCTAGACCTCTTGGCATGTGAATGACAGGATCCCAATTCAAAGTGAAATTCAATAACTCATAACTAAAACCTGGGAAGGCAAGGGGAGCCAGAGCACTGGATCCAGGAACCTGATTCTTGTATATGGTCTTCATCCTCAGGTCAGCTTCACATAGTAGCGACATGGCCACAGCAGCTCCCGGTGTCCATCTTTAGAGCCTGAGTTCAGAAAGGTAAAGGGAATGTGGCAGATTGGTTACTGTTCCTAGCTCTTCATGCCTCTACCTGCAGGGCTATTTGCATTATACAATCCCTCCCATTGCTGAGTGACTGCAATTCCTCCCACAAGAGGCATCTTCCCAGCAATGCTGCCTTTGGCCAAATGGCTCACTTTGGAAATGTGAACAGAGTGACAACATGTTAGTTCTGGGCCAAGACTTTAAGAGGTAGCTCATGTTTCTGCTTGCTCCGTGCTCCTGGACTCCATCCTGAGAAGAGTATGTCCCAAGTAGCCACTATTCCAGAGAGAATGAAGAAACCTGTGAAGCACATCTAAAGCCAGTCTTTGCCACCTCTGACCTGTAGACTCATGAGCAAGAAAATAAATATTGCTTGTTATAAGCCACTGAGATTCTGAGAGTATTTGTTACACAGCAAAACTGATTGATTAAAGATATTCCCAACCAGCTTCATTTAGATAATCCTGGTGAAAAACACTGA